CCCCCCCCAAAATAGAATATACCTCCCTTAATCCTGTTTACCCCTTCTGGTGTGATGCCATCATGTTTTAAATACTTAGTAGGGAGGACACAATGATTAACAGAAAACCATCAAGAAGAAGCATGGGTGGGGAAGCACAGGTAGTATGCACTGCTAATGTGCCACTTCTAACCAATGCGACCTGGGTGTGAGTCCTGCCGGACTTGGTTTTGTATGTGCATAGAGTTGTTTGTTGGTTCTCTCCTGTGATTTGAGGGTTTTTCCTATGAGTTCTCTGGTTTTTCCTCCCTCCACAGAAATCAACTTCTAAATTCTAATTTGATCTATCGGTTGCCTTATTGATTGGGTCGCAAAAACTGTTAGGCACTATGTAATCCACCCAGGAGGGGTAAAAGCACTGGAGGAAAGCCAGGGGAATTAACCCTATATTCCCTATAAGCCATGCTTTATGTGTTGCTATTTCCAGGGAAGCTTATGCTGCAGTGTGCAAAACTTACATTTTCTTTTTCTTTCTTCCTGCTTCTTAAGAAATGCTTTGTAAGCATCAGTCTGCTGATAGCTTTCCAGCTCTGCCACATATCTATCTTTCTCCCTTTCTGCTTCATCCAAATATTTCTAAAAAAAAAAAAAAAGAAAAGAAAAAAAAGAAAGAAAACAAAAATCATTTTAAAATAACTAATCTAGAGAATTAAAATTTGTTTTTGAATTTCTAGTTTTTAATCTCCCATTATCTTAATCTCTCTCTTTGTTTTAATAATTAGCGTGAAGGGAAAGGAAGTTAAAACACTTCTTTATAAAGATACTTAAGAAGTATAAATATGGGTTAAAAGAAATCACTTGGGAGAGGTTGGGCTTAACTCCTACCTATTGCTGCTTTGCCTGCTAAGAGTGGATGGGGTAAGCCCTCCTGGGTACCTCCCCCATCCCCATTACCCGTTCCATGGGATCATAGCCTGTTACCATGGGGATAGCCTGTTAGTATAGGAATCATAGCCTGTTACCTGTTTCTCCTCCTGTGACATTTTACTCCATTGTGCTCCAAGCATTTTTGTTATTTCGGGGAATGCTAAGTCAGGATGTTCAGCCCTGATTTTTTCTCTGTTTTCATTCAGGAACTGTACATACGCTGTTAATGGAGCTTTGGGAGCATTTACATCTCTGATTGTCTTTCGTCTCTTTTTGCCCTTTGGCCATCCACCCTTCTTTTTCTGTGATTAATAAATTATAAGAAAATATTAGGAAAAAGATATTGGTGAATTACTTCTTGGGTATAGATTCCTGAATGACAGAAATAATTATCTCATGTGAGAACAGTTTGTTGATTTGAGGGGTTATCTGGTTTCTCTGCCTCCTAGCCTGCGTAGCGGCCCAAATTGGGAAATTGGGGGGGAGGGGTGGGGGGCCTGTGGCTCCTCCACAGGCCCCCACCCCTCCCCCCCAATTTCCCAATTTCGGCCACTACGCAGGCTAACTCCCTCCATAAAACTAAACAAGCTAAATCTTAATTAGATCTGTGAGTTGGCGGAACCTGACATTGGTCAGCCCATAGGATGTTTCAGCATTTGATCTGTGAGTTAAATCAGTCCAGAGGTTGCTTCAGGGTTTGATCTGTGAGTTAGCCATGCCCTGACAAAGATGAGATTGTTTCAGGGTTGATAAAGTTCCAAGCTATTGCATGCCCTACATGTGTCTTCTCCATGACTAGATCCTTTTCATGGTGCAAAGATGTCTCAACATGGTGATGTTCATCTTCATGGCAGACCGTCTCTCCTACATATCTGTCTTCACTGTCAGCTCCACTAAGAATCTCAACTTTAAATAGATATGGAAAATTGATATTAGCTCACAGATGTACAACTCTACAGTACATGACATTGTATACATGTCAATATGTTCTGTGTGCCTCTGGTTTTAGAGAAAAAGCATGCATGCACTGCTTGTTCATGGTTCAAAAAAACAGTCAGTCAGTAGACAATGTCTGGCCAAAATAGACTGGTAACATTGCTGATCTCATATATTTGTCTGATAATAATAATGGGAGTTCTTATAGCGCATTTCAAATATTTCAATGCACTTCACATTTATAACCAGTGGAGGAGTTTACGGGCTGCATACTAAGGTGCTATTGGCAGCCGTGCAGCTTACAATCATAAGTGTGAATTGTTAGTACATTAGTATTATGCCTCCAAATTGGGATGGGCTGATGTGGCCTGGCTATGCATGATCATGTCTATACCTATTGAACAGCCATCTTTTAAAACCCTTGTTTGTGAAGTAAAAAGATCGAATTGAAATGTTAGCTTTTACTGTACCTTGAGATAAGTCAGAAACGAAGTCTGCCTCAGTAGAATGAAGGTTTTGTCTTTCTTGTGATGTATGGTGGAAGTCTGCCACTGTAACATGACTAGTGGTAGTGAAACGAAGCCTGGAAAATATGTAATTTTAAGAAATGTTGATAACAAGAAACATTTCCTTAGAAAAAAATCATATTGTTGATTATGTATATACCTACTCCATTTTAATTTGACAACTACAGCAAGAATGATGATTATAATGATGATGATGGTGATCAATGTTGATAAAAATTATAGGATTTTGCAGTGGTATTTCGACAGACTGGCGTTTATCCACTGAAATTCCAAATTGGAATTTAGAAGTCGATCTTTCCTGAGGGAGGAAAGATTGGAGAAGGCAGATAAAAAGCTGGTGAAGATGCATGATAATGATGATGATAAAATGAACCCTCCAATAAATAATCAATAATAAATCTTAATTCCAAGAAAAAATAACTAGTAATAAATAGTATAGAACACATATTAAAATGCTGTACACTATTAAGATGTCAAAACAAAACAAAAACAAAAATCAAAAACATATCCTTGAATGATAAATTAGATGATAAAAATCAGATAAGTTTACATAAATAAATTAATGAAATCTTAAGATTGTATAATGTAAAATAAATCTTGGATATTTTGGACTGGTAATAAGCTTATTTAAGAATGGATATATTACCTTCCGTCTTCTCCAACACTAGCTACCGACAGATCACAATTATGATCCTCAGATTCATGCTTCACAATGTTCCCACTCACGTCAACCTGATCGAAGCTATTCAAGCTAAAACCAGACAGGGAAGTGACCGTCCCATGGCCATCTAGAGTGGGTGTAAGGACAGCTAAGCCGCTAGTATAACAAGACGAATCTTTAACTGCAGAAGAAACGATGGCATTTGAATGAAGCACATGGGCCAGAACAGCAGAYGAAGTACAAGAAGCACCAAGATCGGCTCCTAAATCCATGGGAATCGCATCCACTTTTAGATCAAATTTTTKAACAGGAAGTGAGTTTGTTAGAAATTTTTGAACGGAAGTAATTGATGCTTTGGTTGTTTTTAGAGGGGGGTTCTTTTCTTGCTTCTCTCAAAAGCCCAACTCTAATGGCGAACACTCAATAATAGCAACCACCCTCGAAGGAAAATACCACCATATCCCGGATGCATCCGACACAGCTAACCCAACCTGGAGTTCGTTGCCCTAAAGTCAATAAAAAATATTAATATTTAGGATAAAATAACAAAACCGCACTTGTGAGTAGATTTTTGGGATTTTGTCCTTTGTGTKGCTAGAATCAAGGATCATAATTTCCCCCGATTCTTTAAGAAAGGAAGAAAATATATTAATTAAAAAATGCAGTATTCTTTTTTTAACTATAATAGAGCTAAAATTCTTTGAGGTTACTTCAATTCTTTTAATAATATTATATTCAAGATTTTCTTAAAGATTAWTATCTTTGCAATGGAAAATTTAACACCGATACCGAACCGTTGCTTGGGCGTCCTGTGGCTTTTTTAATATCCCGTGACGTCATTTCCAAATTCCCGTATGTAAGGATGGCGCGGAATATAAAAACAACTCGAGCAAAACAACAAGAAGTGGTTCGGGATTTTAAATCCTTTGTTTGGTAATCAGAGGTATGGAAATGATTTGAATTGTTTATTAACCGATAGAAAACTCAAGAATTCGTTCCTTGTGGACTACCAAACTTTATATTCAGCTCGAAAAGCATCAAAAAATTCAACTCTTGTAAAGACTTGTGAGTCTTCTTGATCTACTTCATGTAAATCGTGGCAAACTTTGTGGGGCGTTTGGGAAAATTGCACAGTTATATTGACATTTTAACTAAAWTACAATATTCATTATTTGTTTCGTACTAGATATCACTCAAATAATAAGGCTGTTATTCATTTATTTTAAGACAAGGTCATTCAAGATGGAGTTGAGAACCACCCAGRAAGCCCAACCAAGAGATTCCTATCGAAGGTTAGTGTCAAGCATAGATACTCAGAATTTAATCCGAGAATAGGGAACAGGGTATCTATTTTCGCACTACCAGAAGAGTTTTCAGCGATCTTGCTCTGGAACAGGGTATCAATTTCAGCGAATTTACTCTGGAACAGGGTCAGGGTTCAGAGTGCTCAGCAGCACATCTCTACCCTAAACAGGCAAGAGTACCCCCCCCCCCCCTGAGCGGCACGCAAACCCCTTATCACATGATTTTATTGTTCTTCTATTTTTGTGAGAGCAAAAAGGCATGTAAACCACCACATTTATCCAACCATCTTAGTTCATCTTAGGTGTCAAGATTTTGGGGTCTCTATTAAACCAGGCCAAGTGCCCCCCTTCATGAAATTCAAACCTAATTTTACTCTCAACCCTATGCCAAAGACCTTTTTTGATTTCKATAAACACAATGCATTGTGGTGTAGCTTGGGCACAAACAACATCATATCAGGCATRATGAATGAAATAAGTTTACATCGAAGCTAGCTGACCACAATGCATTATGTTCACTTACTTAGAAAAGTTCTCTGGCATTTCATTGTGATGAACCTTTAATAGAGTTTTACTACGATGGACCCATAAGGGAGAAAATCATCAAACTAACGAGGAGAAAAAAAGAAACCTTCATAATYGTAAGTACTTTGTTTATCTTTCAAGTGTCAGATTTGTTTTTGAGGATCAAGCATGCACATATATATTCTGCAGGTTAAGAAATTATTTGCATACCTCTCAAGGGAGGAGGGTATAGGGATTGATTGATATGAAAGGGAACTTACTTGCTTTCAGAAAATAACCATACATTCCCTTAGAAGGAGATTGGAATTTAGCAGAAAGGGTTTGCATTTCTAGTGTTATCCTGTGGGTTGATGTCATAATATTCTTAGATATAAGATTCTTCAATCATTGCACTTGCATACTAGCTTGCAGTTGTATACTGTAAGCTAGTATGTAGAGTTTTAAGAAAGTTTTTCTGTTACSGCAGTATGAGKATTTCTAACAACATCCCTACTCTTTTKGRGAGTTTTGATACAAATCTMTTGYCTTATGCAATAGTTGAGCATTTTATRATATATTATCWGTATTGRTCTTACCTTATGGGGATTATCAAGGACAAAACATAGGATAGTAGATTTAGTGATAATCCATTCAATTCTTTTAAGATTAGGCATATTATATACCTTGCTTTTAGATAGCATGGCTAATTATTGAGCTTAGGSTTGAACTTTGACCTCTGTTTAACCTCTACCATCTGTTCATCTGCAAAARCCTATTATAAAATTATATTCTTGAATTTCTCTTTCAAAATGATCTAAACARAGCCACAAAGTAAAAATGTAACCTTATAAGTGAGGTCTCTCCCTTGTTTCGAGGGTTTTTCTCTGGATTTTCTGGTTTTCCTCCCTACGCAAAACCAAACTCAACAAGCTGAATTCCATGAGTGAATTAGCCATGCCCTGACTTAGATCAGCCCAGAGGTTGTTTCAGGGTTCTACCTGTGAGTTAGCCATACCCTGACTTAGATCAGCCCAGAGGTTGTTTCAGGGTTCTATCTGTGAGTTAGCCATGCCCTAACTTAGATCAGCTCGGAGGTTGTTTCAGGGATCGATCTGTGACTTAGCCATGCTCTGCACGACTTAGATCATCACAAAGGGGGTTTCAGGGTATCGATAAAATTTGAAGGTTTGAAGGACTATGGTTAGTTTCTAAACGGCAAAATTATAGATGCTTCTGTCTTGAAATAAGTGACACATTTGTTTGGRGGGGAGTTGCTTCCATAACGTGAGGTGTTCAGGATTGAACGCGACCGTGATGACGTCATATAGCAATCAATGAAATTCCGTCAATTAAATCTTAAACTGGAATACTTGATGGAATCGTATCCAAAGTGGAGGAAATAGCTCATAAATTGCATTAAATATCAAAAGAATTTTTTTCTTGATGTCGAACATAATACACACGTGTTTACAGGAAGATGACTCTTCAAAGGTCATGTGACTTGGCCTTCAGATTTGATGGACAAAACCATGCACTTCTTTCCTTTCATTTTGCTTTATTTCTTCTATGAAAAGATACTCTTACAGTCTGTATCAGATAAGATCTTATCGCTTGGTAATGGTAGATTAACTGCGGTAGGCCTATAACTGTTGGACGGCTCGATTTGAAGCTGATCAGTCAACAAATATCTCTTTTTCTGCCTAAAGAGTCCATAAAAACCCAGGCAGCGTAGTCTATTTTTCCGGTACCGCTTATCCTTTCTTTGCTGCATGCCATTCATGTCAATATGTAGTGGAACGTATTCTTATTCCGTCCCCCCTCTCCACCCCCCATAGTGCGGCGTGTTTATCGAACCTTTTCGTATTCTTGACCCCCTCTTCTTCCATCGCCCCAATATATGGAGTTTACGACTGTATACACAGAAATCACCCATGGAGATATTTTTCCAGGTATAAATATCCGGCGTTAATGATAACTGCGAGAGCTTTGATAGCGCGCTGTTTTACAGCTCGAACCTCGACCGGACAACCTGCGGTTTCTTTGTTCTCAACCTGTCAAAAGATGGGAGTGTAATTATTGAAGCATCACATTGAAATGATCTTTTATGTCGCGCTTGGGTACATCGGCGTCTTGAGTCGGCCACCGTTGCGCTTAGAAACACAGATCCGTATATTTTCATATTTTTGTAYCTTCAAAAACTGAACCATGGCGAGCATAAAGTTAGTCGTTGGAATTTTGTTCCTGTGTTGTTTTCTTCGGGGATTTTCGTGCGTGGAGTCTGCAGATGAACAAGACACGCTATCTGGCCCAGGGTAAGTTACACACGATTCATCTTAAATCATCCCTTGTATTATTATAGTCAGCTAGTTTACTCTGCTGTGCGCACCTGGTGCGAGCCGTCACGAACACAACATGTAGGACGCAACAAATTGGACCTCCTTAACTTCAGCATCAAATAAAAAAGATTCACACAAAAAGTTGGATTTAAAGAAAAATTCTTGAAATTTTTGTACGGAGYTTTGCCCTGAAATTTCGTGTCATTAGTCTAACGAGGTCTTGGTAATTGTCCTTATTTACAGGGTTAATGTATGTGTCAGAAAAAGGTCGCAGGTAAAATATTCACTGACTACGAAACTGTTCTTTGAACCCGTCTACAAGCCAATTCTGCAGCCCTGCAGCAATTGGTCCAGTCGCGTCTGTTCTTCCTACAGGTAGGTCGAGATAACAGCAAGATTAATTGATACCTATATCGAGTGCATATTTAAGTCTTGGATTTGTTATAATGACCTTGATTAGTTTCAAAATCAATTAATTCAAGTAGAATTAATTATATGATCGTAAATGCTATAACACCTTGTCCATCGAATTTCTTTGTAATGATTAGAAATAACAGAAATAACCAAATAATTAGCTTTATGTCGTAGACAATTATAATTAAAAGTACATCGTAAATATTAATCGGCTTCTCAATATTTGATATGCTCTTAACGTCTGACACTGGCATGAARGTGTCTGGGAAATAAGTCATAAAGTCATTGAAGTGAGTGTAATCAAAAGAGCTTTTTCCTAACGGTTTGTTTGTTCATAGTTTTCCATTAGCAAATTTTTGAGGTTGACATCAAAACCTTTGCGGAAAATTTATCAGATTATTCGTAATCCTGTTTGATACGAAGACAATCCCTTGCAACATTTTTTGGGGTAGATTGGACGGCGAAGAATTCTTTCTGGGCCACTATCAATTTAGGTTGTCTAGTTGTCTCGTAATTATAGTAATTACCGTTGATTGAATTATCACCTCGTTTAAACAGACGGCAATGAAGCCTAATGAGTTGGCCATCCGACCTTGTATGTGTAGAATGATCAATGTTGAAATTGTTTGCTAGTTTACTTGTTTTGTCTGGGTGGGTTGAGTTTCTTTGTTGATGGTATGTGAAGGTGAATTATTTACAACTCAGTTGTGTCAACAAGAGATCTTTTAGGTTATTGTTTTCCATCAGGGGTGGAATGTCGAGAAAACAGAAAACCGAAGAACGCATGAAACTATTCTCCTTGACCTGGGGAATTGATCGTTATGACTCGAGATGCGCTTTTTCTCACGGGGGGATGATTGAAACATTTTTATCATCATTAACATCATCGTTATCATCATCATCATCAACATCAGCATAATTTTCATCAACAACAGCATAATCATTATCATTATCAACATCTGCATAATCATCATCAGCAACATCATAATCATCGTCGTCGTTATCGTCATCTTTATAATGAACACCATCATGAACATCATCATCAACTAGCATCATCAATGTCATCATCATCATCAATATTATCATCAACTAACATCATCATCAGCATCATCAACATCATCAACATCATCAACAACTAACATCATCATTATCATCATCAACATCGTCATCAGCATCATCAACATCATCAACTAACATCATCATTAACATCATCATTATCATCATAATCATTGATTTAATTGTTATCAATGTTAATGTCATTTTGATTATCATGTGTGAAGCATGGGAAACGTGCGCTACTAATGCAGCACTTATGATAACTCTCCCCACCGTTTTCTTGTGCCAAACACTAACACCTGCCATCATATTTCAATAATATTCATCAGTTACAACATTTATAAACGGATTTCTATAATTTTTTACAGCACAACTTATACAAAGAAATTCAGAAAAGTCAGGACAAGCAAACTTGAGACTATAACTATGTATACATGTTGTCCTGGCTGGACAAGAATACGTGGCAGTAACAACTGTGAGATTGGTAAGAAACCACTC